GACGCTTCTCTGGTCAATAACCAATAGAGGGACCTGGATGCCCATATTGGTTCCTACATATTCTATGAAGATCTTTATCAGTCGAACCTTTATGACAGCGTACGTAGTTCCCTTTGTCCGTCGGTATGTTACTTACCGGAGATTCGATCATCGGTATCTCCATACCTAGTTCAATCTTGTTACCGGCAAGTCACTTCTCATTTCGTAATACATCATCTTGTAACTAACTCCTTAGTCACTTTGCTTGCAAGCTTCTTGTGATGTTGTATTACCGAGAGGGCCCATAGATACCTTTCCGTCATACCGAGTGACAAATCCTAATCTTGATTCACACCAACTCAACAAGCACATTCAGAGATACCTGTAGAGCACCTTTATGGTCATCCTGTTATGAAGTGACGTTTGATAGCTGAAAGCACAAGTGCTCCCTGGGTGATTTTGGTAATTAATGACAACATATCTCTTGTTGGACTAATACTTTTATCGAGTACATTTCAGACGAGTTCAACAATGGCATGGCAAGGACAAGAGGATGTGGAACCCCTTAAAAATGCTAAGGACAAAGATTGGCAAAAGCTCAAGACTCTTCTCTTTCATTTTAGTGATCCAATATCACATTGAGTCCATAGAAAATCCAATACTATAGAAGGGGATGAGGTGTTGCTTAATGGTCTACTTGCTCAAAGTGCTTAGTGATATTGCTCCAAAACCCTCAACCACTTTCTCATTTCCACATATGTCCAACACCTAAAGTCAAACTCGACCCCACCGATTTGATCTATCCGGCGCCACCGAGTTCATTTGACATAGCCAGTGCCAGAAACCCTAGACAATCCGGTCTCACCGATACGGATCTCGGTCTCACCGAGATGGCATTGCAAACTCTCTGTTTACCTTCGTAACGTTTCGGTCTCACCAAGATGAGCGATCGGTCCGGCCGAGTTTGCCTGACAAACTCTCTGTTTGCTCATTGTTGAAATCGGTCTCACTGAGTTTAGGCAATCGGTCTCACCGAGATGAGGTTTTTCCCTAGCCCTATCACATCGGTCCCACCGAGATTCCTAACACTCACATTTTAAACTGAATCGGTCTCACCGAGTTCTTCTATTCGGTCTGACCGAGTTGGGTCGAATGTGTGTAACAGTTGGATTTTGTGTGGAGGCTATATATACCCCTCCACCCCCTTCTCCATTTGATAGAGAGCCATCAGAACGTGCCTACACTTCCACTACTCATTTTCTGAGAGAGAACCATGTGTTGACCAAGACATTCCAATCCAACAACAAGAATCTTGATCTCTAGCCTTCCCCAAGTTGCTTTCCACCCAAATCTTCTTTCCACCATAGCCAAATCTGTGAGAGAGAGTTGAGTGTTGGAAGACTATCATTTGAAGCACAAGAGCAAGGAGATCATCATCAACACACCATCTATTACCTTTTGGAGAGTGGTGTCTCCTAGATTGGTTATGTATCACTTGGGAGCCTCCGACAAGATTGTGGAGTTGAACCAAGGAGTTTCTAAGGGCAAGGAGATCGCCTACTTCGTGAAGATCTACCCGAGTGAGGCAAGTCCTTCGTGGGCGATGGCCATGGTGAGATAGACAAGGTTGCTTCTTTGCGGACCTTCATGGGTGGAGCCCTTCGTGGACTCACGCAGCCGTTACCCTTCGTGGGTCGAAGTCTCCATCAAGATGGATGTACGATAGCACCACCTATCGGAACCTCACCAAAAATCTCCGTGTCTTCATTACGTTTGCACACTCCAATCCCATCCCTTTACTTTCTTGCAACTAGCATGCTTTACTCTTTCAGCTTCTTATACTCTTGCGATGCTTGCTTGAAATGTATTGGGAATGCTTAAAATTGTGCTAATCCTTCACCTCAACTTGAAGAGCATAAAAACTGCTACTTTTGCTTGTTGAGGGTCTAATCACCCCCCTCTAGACACATCTTCTCGATCCTTTCAATAGCACACAAGGTATTCCTCCCGTATCCGGGAGTTGCATGATCTCATGGTCGAAGGAATATGTATTTGACATTAAGAAAGCAACATCAATAAATTGAACGATCATATGCTAAGCTAACAGATGAGTCTTGTCCATCACATCATTTTTCTAATGATGTGATCCCGTTATTAAATGACAACCCATGTCTATGGTCAGGAACCTTAACCATTTTTTGATCAATGAGCTAGTCTAGTAGAGGCTTACTAGGGACTTGGTATTTGCTTATGTATTCACACAGGTATTTAAGTTTCCAATCAATACAACTATAGCATGAATAATAAACTTTTATCATGATTAAGGAAATATAATAATAACCACTTTATTATTGCCTCTAGGGCATATTTCCAACAGACCATGCATCATTTCTCTGTGCCCAAGCCGACATCGGAGAAGAAAATACTCGGTTGCGGGCAGCTAGATTTATCAAAGAAGTAGATCACTTGGCATGGCTAGCTAACCGAATTATGGTGCCGAAGAAAAACAAGTCATGGCACATGTGTGTTGATTATAAGGAGATCAGTCGTGCATGCCCCATAGGTCACTTCCCTCTTTCTCGCTTCGACCAGATACGGATTGAAGTGCTTGCTGCGAGAGAATTTATTTTTGTATGCTTATTTTGGTTACCTTGAAATCCGGATTAAAGAGTCCAATCAAATAAAAGAAACGTCATTCATCACCCTATTTGGGCCTTTCTGCTATATCACTATGCCTTCTGGACTAAAAAATGTAGGAGTTATGCCCGGGGCCGCCGCCCCGGCTTGCCGGTGCACACAACACACCGATGCCACAGTAAATCAGATTGGATCTGGGACGGAAAAGCACAAAGGGGCTGAGGGGAAGGGGTCCATCCTGGGAGAAGCATCAAGTAGGCAAGCAACGGGAAGAGGAGTCAGAATCGCAGCAGGCTGGTGTACGGATACAACCTTTGACGATCTACACGGGTCGTGGAACACAGCAGGGATGAGGAGAAACGGCCAAGGGGCTCGATCCCTTTGGGAGCAACCGATGACAGTAGCGATAGGGAGGGCGGTTATTCTCTGAAAGTGGCACTTTTGCAGGGGAGTTTTCTTTTTGAGTTAGGGTTATAGAAAATAACCACATTTTGTTTTGGTAGCACAACACCAAAGGCATTGGCCGAATTTTCTTCCAAAATATTGATGTCTCCCTAATGATGTAGTGACGCTCATTCTGACACACATTATAAAACATTAATGCTTACTGTGATGATCATTTAGATGACATTTTTTTAATTTGATGATTCATTCATTTTTACAATAATTTGAGGTCCATTAGGGAAGGAACAGGCTTCTTTCTTTCTTTATTCAGGGTGGTGGGTCGTCGCCACAGGCCAGATTGGGCTGCACACTTGGTCCAGCCCACAAACGCGGGGGTGGTTGTGGGGGAGGGGTCGCCGGGGAAGAAGGCGGCGACGAGATCTGCCCGGGCAGCGCCACAGCCCTAACCTTGACCGAGGCCGGCGTGGTGCCCGTCGGATGGGAAGACGAAGGGAAGGGGTGTCACATACAGTTGCGTCAGCAGCGAAGATGCGGCGGCGCCGCCGGGCGAGCCGATAGAAGGGGCGAAGGAACCACACCAGCTCCAGGAGCAGGTCGCCTCCGCACCGGCCGCCTCTTCCTCGTCTGCGAGATCAACCCTGAGAACCCCGCGGGGAGTTCAGGAGGGACAAGTAATTCTGGCTGATAGCAGTGTTAATCCAAAGGTAAACACGCTTACCTGCTAGTGAATAAATTGTTTGCTCATCAACCTCTTTAATTAGTCCGGGTAGACTTTGACTAGTCGTGTAGTAGCAATTTTTATCAATTAAGCCCATGCGACAAGATGCAATCCCCTGTGGCATGCATCTAGCTATGTTTAGGGTGTCGTTTGTTTTCCCATATACAGTACTACTATAGTATATTTGGGTATATATTAGTAGAAGCTGGCGGTATCCTTAAAATCAATGGGCTGTTTCTTTCTCTTTTCATCAGATTTATAAAACGTCATTTTTGCCTATTTATGACCAACCGTGAATTTCATTTGAATGGAAAAAAAAGAGCAATCTTAGCGCTTGCTCTCAAGGTCTTGAGATCTACTCCTTTTAGACTAGTCTATGACTATATGAGTACAAGCAAGCAGGTGGCAGTGCGAATACACAGGAAAAAGAAAGCAATGGAACTGACTTCTTTGGTGTTGTTAAATAGTCATTAAGGCTAGGTCCCCACAACTAGTTTAGGATCAAAACAAGCAAAGTGACCTATTTTCCCAGCAAGATAGATAAATCTCCCTCATTTGGTTCTCGCAAAGCAGCACACACATAACAAGGCTCCTCTTGGATCTGAATCTTGAGCAGCTCCTACCTCCTCCTATCTTGACGTTCTCTCCACCAAGGTACTGCTCCATCCCTCCCACCCTTCTTTGATAAATTCAGAAATTGTTCATTCCTGTTACATTTGACTCGGGTGACTCTTGCCCATTCATTCTACACAAGAGCGCTCTTTGAAAGAAGGATGAGGAACATCTGTTTTAGTTTGCTTCTTAACAAGAAAAATTAGTTCCTTATACTATGGTTGGTAGTGCATCTCTTGGATCTTGACCATCAAATAATTTGGCCACTAGAACCGAGTGCTAGCTTGGTGGTTAGAGTGGTGCTTTCTCGAGTACCCAGTGTCAAGGCCCGGGGTGAAAACCCGGTCTGACCTTAATTGGCTGTACCGGGCAATTTCGTGCCTTCCATCTAATACATATCTTCGCTTGCTCCTCGCATTGTTTCGTCAACTATAGGGTTAGCACTTGGCAGATTTTTTTATTTTCTGGGGGTTCTCCATACTTTATTATCAGCTGGAGAATATGAAAGTAAACTCAATTCGTTTTCCATGAGAGATCGAATCCTAATTATTTCTGCAAACTTGCTGAATGGTTCTGAATGTACTTCTCCTTGTACTGATCTAGTATATGTATGTACTGAACATAAATTCTTTTTTGTTTCTCCAGCGACATGGTTCTTCCTCCGTATGGGATGTTCTCCCCAGTTGTAGGGCTACTTGTGAAGGGGATATGGGAGCCCGTTAAGAAGCACAGTGGTGACTGCCTCAAGCCTGGAAGAAAAGTTTGTGATCTGAAAACTTCTACGGATGGTTTAAGAGTCCACGTAGACACTATTGCTGAGCAGATACAATTGGGCAAAAGACCGAGGGTTCAAACAACAAGATGGATAGAAAGTGCCCAATCAACTGAAGAAAAATCACGTGCAATCATAAATAAGTTTGAGGGAAGGAGCAAACATATGTTGGGTTGCTCTTGGAATTGTTGGCTCAACTACAGGATTGGCCGTGCTGCCAGAAAGAGAAAGAAAGAAGTTGACAAGCTGAAGGAGAGAACTCCCCAGAATGATGGTATCTTCACTTTGCTACCACCAGTTGGCATAGAACTGCCTCTGCCACCTAATATTGTGGGGCAGAACGAGTATATGGGCAAGATTGTTGGTTGCATTGAGCAAGGTTCCACATGCATGGTTGGGATATGTGGCATGGGAGGGGCTGGAAAAACTACTCTTCTTAAGCAATTAAACAACACCTTCAGTTGCACTGCGGAAATGCACACATTTGATCATGTGATCTATGTGGAAATTGGTCAGCAACAAAATCTGGGTACAGTTCAGAAGAGCATTGCATCACAGCTTGGCCTGACGCTTGGACAGGAGGAGGACACCACATCCAGATCTGCATCCCTCTACAGGTTCTTGAAGGAAAGGAAGTTTTTATTATTGATGGATAACCTTTGGCAACCACTGGACCTAGAGAAGGTTGGGATACCACAAAAATACTTGCAAAATAGACAGATGATTGTAATCACAGCACGTGATCAACAAATATGTCGAAGAATGCAAGCACACAGTGAGGTGTTTCTGTTACAAAAACTCATGTTTGAAGAAGCGTGGAGTCTCTTTGAAGCGAATGCGGGCTGCAATGGACTAACCAATACCAATGCACAGATCAGAGGTTATGCTGAGAACATTGTTCGCAAGTGTGGAGGCCTTCCACTAGCTCTTAAGATAGTTGGCCAGGCTATGGCATCAAAAGAAAGTGAACAAGATTGGGAACTCGCCGTGAGGTTGCTTCAACGGTCTCAGTTCCATGAAGTTCCAGATGCATATGCAGAAAGTGACTTATATCATGTACTGTACATCAGTTATGACCAACTTCCAGACACAAGGACAAAGCAGTGTTTCCTTTACTTTGCCTTGAGATTACCGGATTATGTAAATGTGCGATTTGCAATAGAACTCTGGATGGGACATGGATTACTAGATGAAGATAATGATCTGAGGACCAACGATTTGAGAGGTCGTGGTGTTCTTGGCTGTCTAAAAAGAGCTTGTCTGTTAGAAGAACATGCAAGAGGGCAAAACTATGCAAGCATGCACGATACGATCAAAGGTCTAGCTCTTTGGATTGTACGTAGTAAACAAGGAGATGGACCTAGAAAGAACTGGTTAGTACGTAAAGGAGATGAAACCATGAAATCAGAAGAGTGGTGCACTGCCCATAGGATTTCCCTCTATAACTTGAATGATGTGGTAATCCCTGGTTCTGTGCCTTGCCGTTGGCTATTAACTCTCTTACTCAGAAGAAGCAACATTATTGGCAATGTTCCTACAGGCTTCTTTCGAAGTGCTCCATCTCTCACATTCTTGGATATAAGTCGCACTAATATCCGGGAACTCCCATTGGATGTTGGAGAATTAGTGAACTTGCAGCACCTTGATCTTTCAGACACCCTAATCCAATCGATCCCAAGGGAGCTTCAACAATTGAAAAGTTTGAGATACCTATATCTAAAAAACACTAGGCTGGTAACAATCCCAGATGGGACCATATCTGGTCTAACAATGTTGAGAGTCCTTGATTTATTCTGTAGTGGTCCTTTCCCAGTGGACACAACACATGCACTCATTAAGGAGTTGGAGAGTTTGGCATGGTTACAATCTCTGGGCTTCACAGTTAGCGATCCTAATTCGCTCCAAAGGATACTCAACCCTTCTAATAAAGCCTCCTTGAAATCCCTTTATTTGACCAAAGTGGAAGGCTTGCCACATCTCCATATTGCACCAGCAGTTTTTAGCAGAACGAGGGTACATGAACTCGAGAGGTTGACATTGTACGGTATGGAAAGTTTGAAGGAGTTATCAATAGGGGATGCCATTGTGAATTCAGATTGGCATTTTGGCAAACTTGACGAGCTCAAATGGTGGGACCTGAGAGAGCTGGAAGTTATCGTATGGGAAGGGGTGGTGCCTCATGCTTGCTTTCCTAAACTTCGTCTGCTACTGATATGTGATTGCCACAGTATCAAGACACTCTCATGGATCAAGCAGCTCCCATGCCTGGAAGAGGTATATTTGGTTGACTGCGAGTCAATGTTGGAGTTGGTGGCTGACGCTGACAAAGGAGGAACCATGTCATCAGCTGCAGTTTCGTTTCCCCGGCTCAAGGTACTTGGACTAAGTCGTCTTAGGAACCTGCACAACACATGTGATGGCATTCTTGCATTTCGTTGTTTGCAGCGCTTGCTTGTGTACAATTGTCCTATGGTGACCAAATTGCCATCCGGGTTACACAAGGAAGAGCATGTGCCGGTGATACTGGGCCGACAAGACTGGTGGCAACGATTAGATTGGGAGGATAGTAGCATGGAATCTACATTGAACTCATTCTTCCGGGAACTGCCATTAAGTTTTCAAGGAGATGTTGGAGATGTTTACAGGGCACTAGCTCGCTATTAACACGCAAATTGAAGTCTAGTTGCTTTAATTCCAACAAAGGTGAAGCCAAGGTCTCGCTTTGCTCTGTTTCCTCTGTTCTGGAGTTTATGTAGAGGGTGGCTGCCTATTTGTAATTTTGTCGTGCGCGTTATTATAAAGCTGCATGCACTGTTATAACAATTGTAAGCTGCCTGCACGTATGACATTCATGTACAAAATCTAAGTCACATTTGCAGTGTGCTCTTGCTGCTCTGTTAGGCTCGTTACTGCATATCTGAGCTCGTTGGTGCTGCAGCCGTGGCCAATGTGTGGCAAGCTCGTCGTTGCGGCTGGTGCAAGCATTCCTGGTGGCTTGAATCTCTACGCACAGACATGGACATGTTTGCGATGGAAGTGTCTGATGGTGTGATCAAGCGGCTCTAATCAGATTCACTTGCAAATCAACGGCTGGCGACACGGTTTACTTTTGGCTGGCATCAACCGGATGATGCGTAGCAGCCACCAAATATAAACACATCTAGTTTGTTTCTAAGTCAGACCATCTTGAGTTTGGTCAAGCCTATAGAAAGGAAGAAAAACACTTACACTATCAAATTAGCATAAGTAAATCCATTATGAACTATATTTTGATTGTATACAATGACATGGAAGATGTTAACACTTCCGTTTATAAATTTGTCAAATTTAAGATAGTATGACTTGGGACAAAACCAGAAGTACTTATGCTTTGGAACAGAGGGGGTCCAGCTGCAGCTTGAAAAAAGATATGTCTATAAGCGTGTCAAGCAGATTCCTGTCAATGAATTGTTCCCCTAGTTGATCAAACTGTAATTGTTCCTCTAGATTACTGCTTGTGCTCTTGGTGAATGAATCCTGATGGTAGCATGGCAGGTACATACGATACGAGTTGGCAATGAGGTAGCGGTCCCTGTTGCGCGAGCATTCGGATGCTGTCTGGTGTAGGCGCTTCAGGCCAGGGGGGGGCTCCAGGATGGTTTCTCCTTTGGATCTATGTATGGTTGGATTGGCGATGAGTCTGTCTGGCTTGTAGCGTTGGAGAGAGTTCAGCCCTGCCTGTTTCAGTGCATGCTTATTGTACTCGGTCCGGTTCAGAGAGCTCCCAGGCAGGCAACACAAGAAAGCTGCAAATGCAATGCAGGGTATGAACTGAGGACTGTCTTGTTGAAGAATGATTTTAGCAGTTTCTTTTTTTCTGCCTGTGATATTGTTCCATCTTGCTCGGATCAGTTCGCTGCCGCCGTTTCTTTTTTTTTGCCAGACAGATATCCCTCTGCTCTCATCTTCCCTTTGTTGCAATGTAATCAGCCAGATTTATCTTCAGTTATTGTGGTGCTGCTACTGCACATTACCTTCAAACTTTTGCTCTTACTTACCGTTTTGAAATAGTACTACTAAGAGCGGTCATTTAACTGGTAAAATTCGCAGTTGGAATGTTTGTTTCAAAATAATACTGATAACATTAAAATGTAATACAAATGTGTACTGTAAGATGCAGGCGACTCCTGCATTGTGTTTTTGTGTCTGTTCATTATTTGAACAATAATTGGGATTTAGTTCTGCCAACCTTTCACCCAAAAAATGCATCGAGGTTCACTGTGCAGATTGTTCCCCTGTGTGTATTCTACTGCAGACTATCTTGCCGAGTAAGCATCACCGATTGGACGGTGTTGGTAAATTCTGTTTTGGATGGATTTTGAAGGAAACTTCTGTTTTTCTCGAGGATGAGACAGCACTAAGAGACTAACAAGAACACAATTAATTACTGGATCATCCATAGTTCTCTAGACTATAATAGATCCTGTTGTGGTAACTTTCTTGGGGCTCTTGAAATAATTACTCTGAAAACTGAATCATTCAGTCATACCTTCACTTTAGTAAATAATGGCTCTGGATACTGGGATCTCTCATCTTGGTTATTTTTATATACTGCATTTCAAAACCAGAAGCTCAAGCTAGGCTAGGCTAGGCTCAGAGAATAATGATGATGATTACTTAGCTAAAATCTAAGATCTGGAACTGCCTACCCATTTGCTCTAGCTGACAGCAAGAATAATGAACAGAAAGCACTGTGCCCGGTTGCGTCGTGAATATGCCTAATCAAGTTCCATATGGATATAATTTCAGTGTGTTTGCCTTGTGAAATGGATGCAGATGTGGTCATCAAAGTTTGATCTGGTCATGGACAAATGCGTCGAGCTGCATATTTAACCAGGTATATTTAATCATTTCGAACAGTTATTTAACCAGTGCTAATACAAATAAAAAGCTGCGGCAACATTTCATTTGTTTTCGACCAGAAGTGGGTTTGGATTAATAGTTGATATATTGCTATTATTAGGAGCACTCATATTTCAGAATTTTGGTTAAATTGATTGTGTATTGTATAGCTAATATTGATATGTTGCACAATATTTAAGCCCATTGATATATTGCATCCATATATTTCCTATTTCTTGGTGAATCAGGATTGCAATTGATATCCCAGTTGTAAGAGTTCGAGTGCGAGCCCATCGTGATATGCACATCCATCCCTACTTTCTGTTTTTTGGTGAATATATATTCTTGATTTCAGTTTTTGTAATGGTTATTTAAGTGGATATGATAAATCCATAATTACGAAGAATGGGAATGCAATGGGAAAGAAAAATATATGAGAAGAATCAAGAAAAATATATGTCAGGCTCTGTATTTGAAATGGAACGGAACTATACATATTGCAATCCAGACATACTATGCAATCAAATTGGTAGAATCCATGTGCCATGTTGTGATTTCAGTTACTTTCAAGTTTCAGTATTTTTTTCGGTGATTTTGATCGCTTGTCCATTGTGTACTCCCTCCGTCCGGAAATACTTGTCCGAGGAACGGATGTATCTAGATGTATTTTAGTCTAAATACATCAATTTGTATCCATTTCCACGACAAGTATTTCCGGACGGAGGGAGTATATGTCTACAAAGCTTCAGTGTAAGTGGCTAATGGCCATATCCAAGGTGGCATTCATTGCATGACAACACCAGACTGGGAAGTTCATGGCGCAGTTCTATGATGCATTTTCCTTCTTGTTTTAAGTTCGTTGTTTGATTAGCTGATTATAAGAAACAGTTTATGCCACCTGAAATATCAAAATGCATGCTGATTCATTCCTATTTGATAAATTTACAATCAGTTGGTTGGAGATAATCCTATCAATACCCTCGGACTACACTGCCTGCGGATTCCATGTTTGCTGTTTGCTATGTGTTCATCCATTTGACCCTTTCTACATTTGATTAAACAGTTTCTCCCTGCAGATTAAGAAAATTGTTTATATCCAAGGGTTGCGACTGCATCTCCTTGAAGAATTGTCAATTTATCTTGAAAATGGTCTGTATGTGCTAGGTTTTGCATGTTGTTGGAGATTGAAATAAAGGGTCTTGATATTGTGTCGTCAGTTCTACTTGATCCTGGAAAAAAAAATAGGTGAGACATACATCGAAGATGATATATGGTGTTAGCATATTAAGTAACTGATGTAAAGCATACAAATATGCATCTACTCTTGAATTTTATTATCCTTTTGTGAAAGATAGTCCATGCGAACTTGCCAGCATCAACTGGTTTGTATGCTAAATATCTTTTCTCTATGTGACATAATGAATGGACATGCTAACTGTTAATTATGGGAATGCCATGCTAAATATCTTTTTTCTATGTGATATAATGAATGGGCATGCTAACTGGTAATTATGGGGACGCCATGACATGTATGGCGGCAGGGAAGGATAAATTCAAAGCTTGCAGATTGAATGCCTAGATGAGAGTGCAGAGGATCGCTGACTCTACATTGTGTAAATTGTTTTGTATCCACGGTAGTAGAGAAGGATTGATTCCTTGCCCTTAATGCATGGATGAGCGAGTTAGGAGGAAAAAACATTGTACATTCGTAATTTGTTGTGTATATGACTCCTCAACTTTATATGATTGTTCTATTGTACTTTCGTTGGTAATTTTGTTGTCATCACACGTGTCTTATTTGCCTCCTTACATTATTCTAGCATGTGTTATGGTAAAAAAGTATTGCGGGTCATTTATATGATATCGAAAAGCGGATTTTTGAGCGCTCATATATGATGTGTTTGATCCTGATCCACTATACCTCATATAAGCATCTCAAGTTAAATGTGTATTTTATTGTATGACCAAAGGATAAATCTTATGCTTTAGACGAGTTTGTGAAGTATTAGATCTTAAGATTTAAACTCGAAGAGTGCTTGGATGTACTCCAAAATCATTGCACATCCATGCTTGTAGATATATGTTGTGCGTTTTAGGAATTCAAAATTTGTATTCTAATGAGACGTGCATTGCACGTGCACACTTAATAGTGACGATCAAATGCTAGTAGTCCGGATGTCGGTGGGTAGAGAGACTGACGAGTGTGCCACCACTACATGACCTTTTGTTTAAATTTACTCCCTTCGTTCCAAAATACTCCCTCCATATCAAAATATTAGACGTTTTTGTAGACTTTTTTAGCCCACGAAAACCGAATATTCTCTTTGGAGGCCGAGCTCCATGGATCTTGGTATTGAAAATGTTGAATTTTGTCAAATTTCATATTTTCTATGTTTCAAAAAATTCTGAAAAAAACAAAGATATACATGAAGGAATAACACACATGTGTGTAAATTGTCAGGAAAAAATACGTTGAAATGAGGGATGTGCAAAAAAGACAAATATGGGGCTTTTTAACACATGATACTATTCATCCTTCCAAGCCATGAATTTGTCTTTTTTGTACAGGTCGCATTTCGGTGTTTTTCATCCTGAAATTTTACACATGTACACATAACATCCCTTTTTACTTGCACATTTTTTTGACACCAAAAAGTTTGAATTTTTTTTTTTCAAAAAAGGGCCTCCATGGAGGCCGGGAGCCAAACGTCCATTCTCCACAAAAACGTCTTATTTTTTGGTATAGAGGTAGTACGAGTAGGTGTTATGATTTCAAATTTAAA